GAGAAGAATTTCAGATTTTTTTAAAAAGACCATTTTATGAATAGCATCTTTATATTTTCCAAGAACAATTTAGTATACGACTTCTACTCTCTTAGAAATATGAATGAGCATGACAGTGTTCTAATATGTTCTTAGAAATATTATGTTTCATTTACCAAACAAAAGAAAAATATCAAATCCAATAAATAATATGCTTATAAGTAACTTCCTTCAGTTATTTATAAGACATAAACAATAACAGCTAAAGGAATTACAGTGAGATGAATGGATAAACACTTTGGATTTTTAGTAAGATACACTAACTTATATGTGATAAGGGGCAGAGATGAGCACTTAATATAAACATAAATGTATTAATTAAACATAAATGTATTAATTAAATTCCTTTCAAAATTTGTAGTAGAGTATTACAAAGAAAACCCATCCAGAATTCTAAATAACAGTAAAAGAAATTCAAAACAATAGTCATTTATCAAAGGGTAAAAGGTAAACTAAACCAAGTTTATCAGATAACTTGAAAATGTAAGAAAGTACTGCCATTAGTAGTTTGGACATTACATATACTTGAAGAGTAAATGAAACTGGTATTAAGTAAATGCTTGCATAAAGTGACTTTCTGTGCTCTAATTCTGTTCTCTGAAGTATACAACATTTTTCACAATTCAGTCTCTCATTTTGTGTGCTAAAGTTATATACATTGAATTGTTGAATGTATTAAAACAACAATTAAAGTTGTTCCTATAATTGAAAAAAAAATGTTTCAGATTTTAAAAAATACCATTTATGTTAGTATTTTTATATTTCTCAAGAACAACTGAGTATAGTACCTCTGCTCCCTTTTAGAAATATGAAGGAGCCAAACAAATTATCTTTGCTAGAAACTTTCTTTTATAAATGAAGCATGACAGCTTTCTAATATATTCTGTTTGGGGTTTCAAAGTAACATTGAAAAACTACTCCAATGGTATATAGGGTATAATTGCTACTGTATTACTTTCAATTAAGTTAAACCACATTGCAATCAACTACTTTGAGTTATAGTATAGACCTGCATCTTAAATTTTGATAGATTTCATTAACACTATCATAAGAATCACTGCACTTTCCCTTTCAAAACTTCATAAGTTTCAGAGGCCTTATAACAAATGACAACACTGCCATCTAGTGCCCCATGACTATTCCTTCCACATTCATAAAAGGGAGTGGTGTACAACCAAGAGAGGACCTAGCCAAAAAGGTAGGCACTAGCCACATGTAGCTACTACCTGAAGGGTACTAATTTGAACTCAGGTGTGCTTGAAGTACTGAACATTAATTGAAATTCAAATAATTAGTGCAAATGAAAGTATTTAAGTATCTCATTGATTCTCACTGTGATATGTATCTCTTTAGATTTTCTATATCCTCTTAGTTCAATTTGGGCAGTTCATATACTAAAATGGAGCAAATTGTATTTCATGCACATAAGATTATATCCAAATGAACCCCACTACTATATTACTATAATGCCCTAATAATACATTTTTAAAAGAATTTAAAAGTGTTCACCAAAGCAGAAGACTATAAGATCAAGAAACTAAAATTAATTGTATATGCTCATATAAAACAAAAATTAAAAAATAAAATTTTAAAAGATACAATTCAAACAACAAATGTTGAGAAATAGGTATACATCTAACAGACTATGTTCAAGGTACGAACACATGAAATTGAGTTCAATAGTATTAGTCATTATAGAAAAGAAAATTAAAACTACAACGTTCCACTTAACATACTCTAAAGTATGAATAAAAACAGACAATAGTAAGCATTAATGAGGATGTACAAAAACTGAAAAATACAAAAATTGTTAGTGTAAATGAAAAACAGTACCTACAGGATGTACGATCAGCAGCTTCTTAAAACATTAAACATAAGTTTACCATACCATCTATCAATTATACTCCTAGAAAACTACTGAAAGAAAACAAAAACATAGGTCCACTGAAGAACATATGCATGTTTATAATGGCATTTTTATTAATAGTCAAAGCATAGAAATAATCACAATGTTCATCAACTTGTACATGGACCAAAAAAAGGCATTGTATACATATAATGCCATTCACTAATTTAAAAACTAAAATCAATATATTAACAAAGTAAAATTAAAACTCCTATGATCATTTAAATTAAACAAATACACATTTCCAATAAAAATGTTCACAAATAGGAATAGAAGGGAATCTCTTCAAACTGAAAAAGTCAGCTTGAAAAACAACCTAATCACGGCTGGGGTTGTGGTTCACTGGTAGAGCATTTGCCTAGAATGTGTGAGGAGGCACTGGGTTCGATTCTTAACACTACATAAAAATAAATGTGGCATATATACACAATGGAATATTACTCAGCAATAAAAGAGAATAAAATCATGTCATTTGCAGGTAAACGGATGGTGGTAGAGAAGATAAGTGAATGCTAAGTGAAGTTTGCCAATCCCCCCAAAAAACAAATGCCAAATGTTTTCATTGATATAAGGTGGCGTAGGGATGGAGAGCATGGGAGGAATAGACTAACTCTAGATAGGGCAGAGGGGTTGGAGGGAAAGGGAGGGGGCATGAGTTATTAATGAAGATGGAATGTGATGATCATTATTATCCAAAGTACAGGTATGAAGACATGAAATGGTGTGAATATACTTTGTATACAACCAGAGATATGAACAATTGTGTTCTACATATGTAATAAAAATTATAATGCATTCTGCTGTCATATATAAATAAAAAAGGTCCACCAACAACTAATAAAATATTTGGGGGAAAAGAAAAAAAAAAACCTTACATCAGACAAGAGTATCCAAATAAGAAAGAAAGAAACACACTGCCACTAGATGTAGAAGACCTTATTAGTATACAGATTTTAATAGATTCTAATAGAATCTATTAAAAAAGTATATGAACTAAAATGTGAGTTTAGCAACACTTTGGGATATGAAATCAATTATAAATACTAGAAAAAATCAGAAAAGAAATAGTTTAAAATACCACTAGCTATAACATCAAAATATAAAATATGTAGGAGAAAATCTGACCAAAAAATGGAAAGCCTAAAATATAGTGAAAACTATGAAAAGTTGCTGAGATAATTGAAAGAATAATAACAAAAATAAAAGACATATAGTGAGTCAAAAACTCATTGCAGTTAAAATATCAACTCCTCAAATTCATCTATAAATTCAGCTCAATCCCAGTCTAAATCCTAGCATGTTTTTTGTAAAAACTGACAAGCAGACTATAAAATTCATATGCAAATGCAAATGAAATTTAATAGCCAAAATAAATGTGAAAAATAAGAACAAGGCAGGTACAGTGGCACATGCCTGTAATCCCAGTAACTCAGGAGGCTGAGAAAAGAGGATCTCTAATTCAAGCCTGGTCTCAGCAAATCTGGCAAAACTGTCAGCAAGTAAAATGACCCTTTCTCAAAATAAAACATATGAAAGACTGGGGAATGTAACTCAATGCTAAGGCATCCCTAGGTACAACCCCCAGTACTTAAAGAAAGAAAAGAAAAGAAAGTTGAGTTGAGGGATAAATAGCACCTGATTTCAAGGCTTATTTAAAACTACATTAGCCTATAATCCCAGCACTTGGGAAGCTGCAGCAAGGGATGGCAAGTTCAAAGCCAACATTCAGCAATTTAGCAAGGCTCTAAGCAAATAAGTGAGACTCTGTATCAAAATAAAAAATAAAAAGCTAGGGACATGGCTCAGTGGTTAAGCGCCAGTGGGTTCAATCCCTGGTACCGGACAAACAAACAAACAAAAATCTACACTAAAAGTGCTGTTGGTATAAAAAGTAGATTTATCCATGTAATATAATAGCACCCAGAAAGAGATCTACACATATACAAACAGCTGATGTCCTATAAAGATGCACAGGCAATTCAAGAATACCTCGGGACAGTCTTTAAACAAATTGACTTGAGCATGCTTAAACATTTAGATGCATAAATTGAGTGAAAAGAACTTCAACTCATCACTTATAATATACATTAACTCAAAATGACACATAAGCTTAAATGGGAAACTCTTAAATATGAAACTTCTAGGAGAAAACCCTTTGGAACCTTTGGTGATATTTCACAAAATAACAAACTGGTAAGTAGAAGTTCATCTTAATTAAAAACTGTTAAAGAAAATACTTTTAATAGGATAAAAAGACAAACCAAAAACTAGAAAAAAAAATTACAAATCACACTTTGATAAAGGTCTTGTATCTAGAATAAAGTATCCTAAAAACTCAACAATATAAAAATAAAAATCCATTAAAAAATTTAACAATGTATTTAATAGGAAACTCCATCAAATTAAATATGCACATGACAAAGGATCACATGAAAAAAAAAGATGCTTAACATCATTAGTCATTAGGGAAATAGAATCTAAAATGAAAATCAGGTATCTTTACACAATTATTACAATAGTTAAATTGTAAAAGGCTAACTGTACATAGGGTTAGAGATGTAGAAGGACCAAAACTCTCCTCTACTGCTTAAGGGAATATAAAATGGTACAACCATATGGGAAACTGTTTGGCTGGATCATTACCAAATGAAAATATCTATTGGCACAAAATCAGCACTGTTTTTGATAATTACCAAAATTATTCCCTAATAAAACTATCATAAAAAACTATTTCTTCAAAAATTAATCATAATGAAAAAAGATTGCACTAAAATTACCTGAGTTTTCTTAAGTCTTATATTTTGTTCCATGTTCAAAATAAGATCTATTGTTATTTTACAATTCAGAGTAGGAAAAAAAATGCCCCAAATACAATTAAGAGAATATAAAAATATATATTATCTTTCTTAACAATATATATGGAATTTTGTTGGAAAACCTAAGAAATAGAAATTCTGAGATAATAAATGAAAATTATAGTTATCAAAGATTATTTTATTATCTGAAACCAATAATGCCAACCAATTATTTAAAATGAAAAAAATAAAATACTTACAATAACATGTTCCCCTAAGTGGATTACCAACATAGCGATTTTCAGAGTCACATCTGTAAAAACAAAAACTTATTTACTATTAAAAATGTAATTCAAAGCCTCATGCTTTTCTTTATTTAAAAAAATTAACTTTATGTTAAACATCTTAAAAACTAAATTGCCAGGTAAAATTTTAAAAACAAGGTCTCACTAAAGTATAAGGGAGACCAATAACATAGACATTCAAAGGGGAGGGAGGACAGCAGAGCATGGGGAAGCACTGAGTAATGAAATCTACCAAGTTATGCTATGTCCCTGTGTGACCACACTACAATAACTCCTGTTTATATATAAACAACCATATGTACTAATTAAAACAATAATAATAATAATAATAGTAATAATACAAGGAAGATCAATAGAGTACAGCAAGTGGATCGTAGGGAGGGAGGACAAAAGGGAAAGGGCAAGTCCTGGGAAATGAGATTGATCAAAGTACACTATGTGCATGTATAAATATGGCATAATGAATCCCAATGTTATGTATAACTATAATGCAACAGTAAAAAAGAATTACAAAAGAAATGAGTCTTCAAAGACTTATTTGTAAAGACGTTTGTGAATGGAATGAAAGAAAACTACATGGAGAGAAAGAAACATACTTAGGAGAAATATAAAATACCAAAATATGGGACATGATTATGAGTTTGGCATATGTATCATTCCTTAATAATATAAGGAGAAGAAGTTGAAAGTCTGGATGAAGAGATAGAGATATTTTTAGGTGGAAGAAAACATTGAGGAAATTCATAAATCTGTATTTTCATCCTTGTGATATTTTTGAAATTAACATATTTCCCCACAGTTTCTATGAAAATTAATCTGCATTTTAAAAATATCTTCTCAGTTGTGTTGGGAAGTTTTCTCTAAAAAACAAAAATCCCCCCAAAAGTAGACTAATATGGGTTAAACTCAGAAGCTCAAACTATTGGTTCATGTAAGGAAATTATTAAAAATGAAAAAAAGAGCATTCAAACTCATGAACTCCAAGTTAAATACATCAAAACAATAGCAGTGGGAGAAAAGTATGGTTTTCAAATTATTGAAATATACACTCTCCATTCCATTTACAGAATAAAATTAAAATGACAATTTATACTTAATAGAGTATAAATTTTTTTATACTTATAGCTTCATTTGCATAATATTATTTCTTGAAATATTTTCTACAATAAATATTATGAAATATATACAGCAGGGTAACTTAATGCAGTGATTTAATATTTAAATTAAATTAAGTTTAAAATTTAAACAGGTAAGACAGCTTCAAAAAAGTCTTTGGTTTTAGGAGATCTCATTAGTACAGAAAAATATTTTAATAAAAATATTTTAATTCATGAAGAAGCAAATATTGGGAGATAATTGGTAAAATAATCACATAACATTCTCACTATATTTTTAGTGGTGTGTCTCCTAATTATTATACCATCCAAAAAGATGAACAGTAAAGCTTTTCCAAAGATTAAAGTAATAATTTCAATAATTAAAATAAAAATTTGATAGCTTTCTATACCTCTAGCTCTTTGAAACAAAGAAACATTGGGTATTAGATTGTCTGTGATTTCTCCAAAGATTAATTTTTAAGTTGTAGATATATAAGATATATAACAGCATTCTAGCTTAAGAAAATAACCATTATTGCTAGGTCAAGCACTTCATAATCTACACTATTCCTATGCCATTGCTAAATTCTTCAGGTTTACCTCCTTAAATCCCATCACTTCACACCAAGGCTACACATACACTGAAGGACTAATTTACATATGACATTATAGATAATGTGACTTGTCATAAACAGCATCACAATTCTACTGTTACAATGGGAAATATTCAGCATAATATTCCCTGCATATCCTACATGCCCAAATAAACTTCAAAATTTCACAGCAATCTAAAAATTATAACTCTCACAAATGACAACAGATTTCAAGTAATTTTTAATTGATAATATATTGCATTTAAGAATTTCAGGAGAGGAACGTATTTCTCCAATATATGGCAGTAATAATTTTCTTCTTTGTTAATAACATTTAGTTTATTCAAATTACAAAATTTTATAATGAGCTGAAAATTAATGTAAAAATATTTACTCTAAACACAATACAAGTTTTACAAAGAAATGGCTATTTTTTCTTTCCAAATCACAAATTTTCTCAGAAGGAGGAAATTACAGAATCTTGCCTAGGAAGTAAAACTTAATCTTTCACTAGTCAAACCCAGAATTTTATCAGAAATAAGAAACCAACACCATATTTTTTAGCATTAAATGGAAAGGGTTAGAGAATTTTTAAAGTTGTCCAACATAAAAATTACATTCTATTTTTAAATTTTTTATAAATGCAAATTAAAAGCATCTTATCTAAAATGCTTTGTATTAACCAATGATTATCATGAGAATTTTCACTGTATTAAAGTATTTTTAAATATATGAATTGAAACAGCAACCTTTGATAGTTTAATTTTAGGTATTAAATGAATTATAGTCTCCTGCAAATAGTCAATAAGATAGATAGTTCCACAGGAAACATAAAAATGAGATTTTAGACAAACAGCTTAAAAAATACAAAAGTGCATGCAAAAATAGAAAGACATTCTTTATTCTTCATTAGGATAGATCGACATCATGATAGCAATTAAATTCAAAGATAATTTTAATTCAACTTAATTGAATTAAAGAACTGTAATGAGATTTCAGAGGAGCTAAAAAAGTTTATCTAGTTACTCACCTGAAAAAATAAACATGTAAGAATAGCCAGGAAAAATAAATGAAAAAGAAAAACAGCTTTGAAGGGAGCTAAATTAAGATATTAAAGTATACTCAAAGTCTCTATCATTAAATAGTATTGCATTTAATATTAGCACATCAATAGACCAAAAGTATACAACGGAAATTCCAGAAACAGACTCAACTATCATATATTGAATACTCAGTATATAATAAATAGTGCCTTAAATTACTGGGGTAAGATGGCTTTTTCAATAAATAATGCTAAGACAACTGGATAGCCATCTGGAAAAATGTAAAAATTACATCCAATTTTAACACCTTACACAAAAGTCAAACTCCAAATGGATGAGAAATTTGAAAGTAAAAAAATAAAACTTTATAGATACATGAGAAGAAAATTTGGGTGAATTACACTATAACTTTAAAAATTATATAAATTTAAAAATTCCAGAGATTAGACTGTTGACTCATTTGTTTGGACTTAAGCTTAAGTAGCTCCCTGAATGGGCAATTTTAAAAGGCTAAGAAATATGAGTACATTTTTAAAAGTTTGCATAGCAAAAGAATATGTCACTAAAAAAGTTAAAAAATTATGACAAATGGAGAGCAAAATATTTGCATATATGTCAGAGAAAAAGAAATAATCTCTAATTTACAAAGAACTCTTTAAATATAATGGAGGAAACTAACATACAGAAAATTTTGCAAAAGACATAAATGCACAATAGACAAAAAGTGATATAAAAATAGCTCTTAAACATATAAAAAATGTTCAACTTCAAAAATGTACTTGCTGTTAAAATTATACCAACATGCCCATTCTTTCCTACAAGATTGAAAAATGTTTTCAAAAGCATACTCTGCTTACAAATCTGTGAATAAAGAAGCCCACCCATATTTGTCTTCTGGAAAAATAAAATGAAAAAAAAATTCACTATGGAGGGGAATTTGGCAATACCTGACAAAATTAAATTATATATGTATTTATTCTTTGACCCAATAATCTCACTTAATGGAATTTACTCTGAAGATAAACCACCAACATTATAAATAAACACACACACACAAACATAAACACCCAAATATTCAGTATAGCATCATTTTGATTACAAAATAATAGAAAATACCTAAATTTAAAGGCATATGAGATTTATTAAACTATATACATGCATACCATGTTTACTTCTTTAAATGAAATAAAATCAAAGAATTATGAAGATCTTTATGATCTGATATTGACTGAGTTCCAGAAGATATTTTAAAGTAGATATAAAAAGTAAAATTCAAAAGAGTATCTATAATATATCTATAATATTTTCATTTGAGAAAGAAGAAAACATCTAAATATATAATGTTATGGTTTGGATATGAGGTGTCCCTCAAAAGATCCTGTGCTAATGCAGGATGGATTGGAGGTAAAGTGGTTAGATTCTGAGAGCTATAATCTAATCAGCCCTTCCTAGTTTGAAAGGACTAAGTGATAACTGTAGGCAGGTGGGTGTAGCTGGGGAGAAAGGTCACTGGAACATGCCCTAGAAGGTACACGCGTGGCCCCTTCCCCTCTTTCTCTGTGCCCTGAACCCCATTCAGCAAGCTACTTAAGCTTAAGTCCAAACAAATGAGTCAACAGTCTAAGCTCTGAAATCATGAGGCCCACATAAACTTTGCCTCCCCTAAGTTGTTCTTGTAAGAAATTTTGGTCCCAGTGATGAAAAGCTCACTAAAATACCTACTAAATAATGTGAAAAATTAAATTAAATCAGACCTTGTAGCACACACCTGTAATCCAGCAACTCAGGAGGCTGAGGAAGAAGGATCACAAGTGCAAGGCCAGCCTCAGCAATTTAGAAACACCCTATCTCAAAGTAAGAAGTAGAAAGGATTTAGGGATGTAGCTCAGTAGTAAAGGATCCCTGTGTTAACTCACAAGTACAAAAAAAAAAGTTTATTAAAAAGTATAATAATGTCAATATTGATACCCCACATCCAAGACAATTTATTATTAAAAAATTGAAATCCAGGCATAAAAGTATGGTAATACCTCCAGTAGTACAAGAAGTGTAAATGCTAAAATTATAAGGCTGTTTGTGATATTTCCAATAATTGTTAACATGAAGTAACTAGATAATCTGAGACAAACTTAAAAATTTTTTTTAATGTTTACAAACACTGAGGAGCAAGAAAGTAAAGAACTATTATACCAGGATGTAAATCCCAGGGTATTGAGTCTTTTGGAGACTTGCAGACTCAATAATCCAAGGGCTCATAATCGGGAGTCAAGGTTGA